TGAGTATCCAAGCAAAGAAGACTTTACGAGAATCATGATCCTGAACCATTTTCAAGTCCAGTTTTAATCCTAAAACAAAAGTAAAATAGGTATATTAATAAAGTTTCTGGTTACTATAAACCAGCTATATAAACTACCTACCCAAAAAATGAAAAAATTTAATTGTATTAATTTATTACGTTAAGAGAGGTTCGAAATATTTTTGACACTACTACTTCTACTTTTTTCTTAATAAGATGATAAATATAACTACTTACTTTTATTTTACCGGGTGTCTTTAACATATCTATCAGAGAAAGGGGGCACCAATACATATAAAAAATAGATGATACTGATTCCTGCAGCAAATAAAATTACAAATAGTATAACCAAAAATTATAAGTAAAAAATATAAATACCTATATGGAACAAAGGAATTTGTTTCCTATCCATATTCATAAGTCAATAAAATGCAGAGATTAGAAAAAAACGTAAATCACCAAAAGAAAAATTAACAAATATGACGACATGACGAATTGTCATGATGTTGTCATCTTGGTTGTCATGATGACGAAAACGAAAGGCGATTGTTCTAATTTCTATTTAGAAATTACGTTTTATATGGTTGCTTCTTTCTCTCTTGTTATATTAGAATGAGATAGTGGGCTCAATAGACGCAATGCGCAGATCAACATAAATAGAACGAAATTTTGCGTTCTGAGTTGCGCTACGGAAACGTTGTCCCTCTCTTTGCCATTTAATTTGCCAGTCTCTTTTTATTTATTTGTCTATGGTCCTAGCCCAAGATCACGACGACCTTGAATATATGGCAAGGAAGCTGATACAGGAGTATAAGAAATGGGGGTTGGAGGTAAATATCACCAAAACTGAATGTATGACTGTAGGGGGGGCCACAAGAGAACATAGTGTTAGAGGATGGAAGCGTGATAAAAAACTGTGACAAATATAAATATCTTGGATTAAAAATAACTAACGATGGAAAACTCGATGAGGGTATAAAAGATCGAATAATGCAAGGCAGGAGGGCAATATCTATGTTGAATGGTGTACTGTGGGACCAAGAAATCTCTAAAGCTAATAAGAAGAACATATATAATACGGTAGTGAAAAGCATAATAACTTACGGAAGCGAAGTATGGCAATTGAAAAGCACAATAGAGAACATGCTATTAGCGACCGAAATGGATTACTGGAGGAGATCTGCTGGAAAATCGAAAAGAGAACAAATAACCAACGACAGAGTAAGAGAGATTATGGGAGCAGAACACACAATTGTGGACGACATAAGAGCAAAACAACTCATATGGTTTGGTCATGTCCAACGAATGCCCGATCACAGAATACCAAATCAAATTTTACTGTGGACACCTCCAGGCAGAAATAAAAGAGGAAGGCCGCGACGAAGCTGGAGGGAGGGTGTGGATAAAGAACTAGAAAATAGAGAAATACCTGATGATCCCTGGCTAAATAGAGAAGAGTGGAGGTTAGGTGTCGGAAAACGTCGTAGAATGTTCTGAACCGACTTATATATATAAACTAATTTGTCTTATTTCTTTAATATCATCATCATCATTATTTTCATCTCATTCAACTATTTTCAATTATGGTGTAGCTTCCCTCACATATTTAGGTAATCCCTCTGTAAAATTTTTGTAGTATTTACAAAAAATAACTATTTTATTTTGTAGATTTTCTTGCAGTGGCGAAATACCCATACAGGATTTTTTTTTGGAGAGATGAATCCGCCACTTAGGTATTAGGGTGTCCGTTATTTACAAATTTGATCATTTTTCTCAAGACACCCTCTAAATTTTTAGTTTATTATCTAAAAAACAATAACAGACCATTGTAAACCTGCAATATTCACAATAAACCTTGCCCCAAAGCAGCGGCGTGCGGTCCATGGAAGCGGGGGAAACACCGCTTCCCTAAACTTTTCAAAAATAGAAAAATAAAATAGTTAAACGTTAATAATACAGTTATTAATGTTAATAAAACTATTTATAACAAAAGGTTAATTTAATTTGTTAAAATTATTTATTTGAAACCTTACATAAACGTAGTAAATTTAATTAGCTTTTTACTGCATGGATGCGCGCCCGGAAATCGCCGCCGGTCGCCTATCCCTCCTTCATGTAGGTGTTATTGACCTCGAACGCAAACGACAAATTTAAACCGGAAAATCGCGCACCGTTGCTAGCTACGGCAGCGATCTTTCGGTCGCCTTCCGAGACTTTTAATTTATCGGGACGGGTTCGCTTGCGATTTTACAGGTAATATTGTATTTTTTTCGGATTTAACTTAGTGTTTACTGTTTCGTTTGTAATGGAGGGTCAAGAAAGACAATCTTCTGCAGTACTAAAACATATAAAAAATTTCATGAGGAATTCAACAAGCAAAGACAGACTTTCAAATTTGGCCGTGTATATTAGAGAAACAGTGCGTAAAACAATTAACGGAAAATCCAAAATTTTATGATGATGTTATAGACAAATTTGCAATGACTGAATAGACTTCAAATACAAATAGGTGCCTATCGCGCGTCAAGTGCTTCCGAAAATTAATTTAAAATATCGTATTTTAACTATTATAACTATATGTTTTTGTTTGTTTAACAATTTTCGATAGAATTTTAATCGAACAATGGAATTGGCCTCGGAATTTTCAAAGGTAAGTTTTTTAAGAAAATGTAAAAGTAATGTCTCGAAATAGGGTTTTTTACCGATTCGCTTCCCCGCCTATAATTGTCACCGCACGCCGCTGCCCCAAAGACGATTCATTTCCCATTTAAATTACATGGGAATTTGCCACTTTTTGCAAATATTTTTTTCTCTCGATTTTGTTCTGTCGCCGCCATGGCAATTACATATTCTTATACAGAATTGAACGCTCTACAAAAAAGGCCTCTCACAATTTTTCGATAAACCTACTCCTTCAAAAGTTATTCACGGTTAAAGTTAACCACTCGGTAAATTCCAAAATTCTTCAATTTTGTTTGACAAAATTATGATTATTTTTGAAAAATTTAATCTATTACTGTAAAAATATACAATGAGGAAGACGCATATATTTTATTTTTCGCCAGAAACTGTTCAATTTATTAGAATAAATATGTGTAAATGCAAAAAAAAAACTTTTTTCTTGAAAGCAGTACCACAATTTTATAAAACGGGCCATTAAAATACTATGGATAACGTAAACGACGCCTCGCGAATTGAAACGATATTCTATCGGTCTGACGTCACCCGCCGTTCTCGTCGACGCGCGATGGCCAGTAGCAGCCAGACGTGTTCCGTTTATGTACGTATTTAGGTGGCGTACTAAGATATTTTTGTTGCTTTTAGCGTTGATTGAAGGGGCTTTTTATGCTTTTTTGTGCAGTTATTATTTGTATGTGTTGTGTGTTCTGAGAATGTTTAAGTAACGGCAGATTCCGGGTTTGTAAAAGCACAATCAGATAACTTGCCAAAAGTCGATGCTTTTATGTTGGCTGCTTTTATAAATACAAATTCCCAATTTATTGGTGCTGAATTACGAGGAAAAAAACAGAGAGGTATGTAACATTTATTCTTTGTAGTACTGAGGCATATTTAAGTATAAGTAGGTACCTACTGTTACGAACGTTTACATAGTTATAGATATTAATGTTATAAACTAATTTTTCAGATTAGGTAGGGAGACATATGGAGATAATGCTGTAGGTTATGTAGAAGTGAAAAGAGACGAAAATATTTGTTTAGTACGTGGAAAAATAACTCCAGAGCATAGCGTGAAAAAGAAAGTTTTTTTTATATATTGACACCCCCATACCCTTGTTATTTTTAAAGATTGTTTTTTTACGAAATTATAGGAAATAAATTGTTTATCAGTAATGAAAATATTATACAAGGTGTCCCATAAGCAGACGCCAAAATTAAGTTACTTTTTTAAGTGAAACACCCTATAAATTTTTGGATTCTTCGGAAATTTCTAGATATTCTAGATATATTTCATGTATAATATCCTATACCTATCTTCAAATGTTTACGAAATATTGACAGTTGAAAAGCCAAAAATTTTCTGGACCACCTTTTTTGAGACACCCTGTATAACTAGAATTGTGTGTGGGTGTAATAACTGTGATAAAATAATAACTGTGTGTGGGTGTCAAAATATAATGAATAACCCTGTACATTCAAATTTCATATACCTATGTAAGACAATATACATAAATATATGAACTTACATCAATATGATCTTCACAACAATAAATCGTAAAAATAGAGGATAATTTAACGTTTTTCTTTTCATCTCTTCTCATGGCCTTGGACCATTTTTTTTTTCTGTTTTCGCTCATCCATTACTATTTATAAATATCACTAATTACTAATTATGTATTAATTAACACAAATAACTAAAATTTTGACTCTGATTCAACAGCGTTTAAAAGCAAACTGTGTAAAATAAACACGCGTCTGGCTCCACGCAACCAGAAGAACGGCGGGAGACGTCACAGCGGCAAGGCGCGGTAGAGAGCGTTTGCCCGGCCATTTAAATTAACAATATTTAATTATTTTATATTAGAGGCATTTCTTAACCGATATCAACGATTTTTTTTGTTCAATTTGTATTTATATGAACTATTTTTTAAAACCATTATTTAAAAACATGCATTTTCCTCATTCTGATGGTGTTAAGGTTGGGAATTAAGAAATATTTAAGTCTAATGAAGTTTAAACCAAAATCAGCTATACTAAAATGGTAGGAATACCTTTTAAAGGAGTAGGTTTATCGAAAAATTGTATGAGACCTTTTTTATAGAGCGTTCAATTCTGTATAAGAATATGTGATTATCATGGCTGCGAGAGAATAAGATCGAGAGAAAAAAAATATTTGCAAAAAGTGGCAAATTCCCATGTAATTTAAATGGAAAACCAATCGTCTTTGGGGCAAGGTTTATTGTGAATATTGAGGGTTTCCAATGGTCTGTTATCAAAAGAATAAACAACAGTTTACTGAAATATATACAATTTATTGGGTATTTTTTCCATCAACAAAAAGCTTTAAGGCACTTTCTTACAAAATAAATTCCTCTAAGGCAACAATTATTATTTTAATCAACCATTTATTGACTAGAATCTAAAACACTAAGCGTTTATCATCACGTTATACTTTCTTTAACTTAATACCTAATAACTTGAGTATTATCTTACAATAAATTATGTTTTATTGGCACCATAAGATCAACTTTGAACACATTTAAACATCGTTCTAATATTATATTACATTTTTATACAAGCTATATATAATTTTATTACTTAAATCTACGAGTTTTTTATATAAAAATAATTCAGGAAAAATAGCTCAATATTTTTGGCATTTTCCTCTTTGCGTTTAACAAGATTTATTTCTAAAATCATTTTTTTTGAGATGCAATTTTTGTGTTATATTATTATTGGTCTCCAATACCTTGAATTGATTTGAAAAACATTAAAAACATTTACACCAAAAATAATTTTTACTTAGATGGTACACTAGAAATCAGCTCTCTTCTTTTGTACAACGGACCTACATTTGGACCTGCACTAACAGGACTAGGTTCTGTTTTAGGAACACTGTTAGCCGATGAATCCAGAGTCTCAGAATCTGGAATATGTCGAGTCATATGCCTTGAATCCGTATACCTTCTCTTGGTGTATTTCTTTTTATCCCTATCCGATGATCCAATACTAGTTGTGGTTGGTGCAACAGTACTGCTTTGAACAGAGGAAGGTGTAGTAACAGAGGAACTCTTTGGTTTGGTCTCAACTTTGCTGATCCTCTCAAAATCAGCGGTTCTGGATCGAAGAACGGCATTTCCTATGCTGGTAATGCTCGGTGTGAAACGTGGTTCTCTTTCTGATTTCGATTCAGGAAAGGTCACCACGCTGGAACTCTTGGGAATATCAGCTCCTTGCATTGCTGCCTTCAACTCACGAACTTTCTGGATAGTTTGGGGAGAAGGAGTTTGAGCAAATGACACTTTCTGCACAGTGGGCATCTCCTTGGCCACAACCCTTCCTTTTGGAGCTGGTTTAAGAATGTTGACGTCATCAGGGATGTAGTTTACCGACGTCTGGATACTGTCCGGAGACGTTGGAGGACTGCTTGTCCAGCTGGGAGGCGATGAGAAGTGTCCAGCGTCTGCCATACTGGACGACACTGAAGTAGGGGTATTCTGGTGCGGAGATGAGTACGTTGTGGGCGCTGATGAACCTACGGCAGAATCATATCCTTGACCTAAAGATAAAAGAACAGCGTTCTCTGTTTTTATTGTTGTTTTGGAGTTGGCGGAGTTTTTGGACGTACCTAAGGATAGTGATCCGGTGATGGGTTGAATGGTTGAGGAAATGGATGAGTCGCTTCCGATTGAAATGTTTCTTCTTCTGGGTGGTATGGTGGGCGCTTTGACCAGTCCTATTACAGTGGGCTGTCGGGTGTTGTCTACGTCTTCTATGTAAGGAATGTCATCATCTGAAAGTAAATAAATATTGTTACTTAAGGAATATGAGATATGTGTAAAAAGTTCTTAATTTTATTACAATATTCGAATTGTTACAGGGCTTTTAACAGGACACTGTCTAGTCAATGAACACCTCATAGTCCAAGATCCCAGAGTGATCCGACATAACTTATTTTCACAAGGATGAAACCTTAGTAATTGTTTTGTTTACTAGGTATTTTAAAACTAAAGGGCTAAAGTGCTTATTTCCAGTGCTTTATTGTTCAACGTCTGCCAGTGGGTTTAGAGCAACAAGCAACAAATTCTCTTAGAAGGGCTAAGTCGTCATCTGCTGTAAACCTAAGCCTCTTTATAGGTTATTTAATATTGGAAGAGGTGGAATCCATATTTTGGGCCATATTTATTTAATTAAAACTAATCCCAGCTACTTAAATATCAAATTACCTAATAAAACTAAAGTAATAATTCAAAACAATTCAAACATAACCTAAAATAAAAGATCTCGCCGGCCGGCCCCGGTTGTAAATACCTGCAATTGCCCATTTATGCAATTTTTAAACGTTATTTAGAAATAGCGCTTGGTGTAATTGATCCGCAAACTACGTCAGGCGGTAACGTTATTAGCGGGTGTTGCGTTAAAAAATGACTCGCGCATATCGTAACCATGATAAGGTACGCGTAAATACTGCATGACGCTATTCGGTTTTCCGATATCTCTCTAATAACTGTGCCGGTCAGGCGCTGTGCACAATTTTAGAGGGCATAAGTGGGCGTGCTATGTGCGCACACTAGTAACCTAACTAGTGCCCGATTCCGAAAATTGGAACCACGAAAAACAAAAAGAAAAAACAAAGTTTATAATCTATATAATCTGTGGCACTACTGAGAGCCTACGGTTTCATCCTTTGTAACAGTCAAATTTCCTCGCAACGACCTCTGTGTGCTAGCTCATAAAATATCGCAAATAGCTATTATTTTTGCATCATGTTTACTATAATTTTATTGTTAAATATTATTTTATTTAAATTTTACCATTATGCAACCCGATATACACCGCGCTATAGAGCCACAGAATATTGTTACTGGATGCCGCCCAGCATTAGAATTTTTGTCGACCTCTTTTTTATCTTTGGTCATCACTTGTCACTTGTCACTGTCAGTCAAATCAGATGTTTTTGGATTTATTTATCCTTTGTTTTGGTTATTGAAATTTTATAATTATCAGATAAAATTTCGTAGTTAAATTGGTTATTTTTGATGTGGATCGCAGTGTGCAATTCGTTCATTTAATTGTGGGAATGTGTGAGTTAAGTTCGTTCGTTGACCAGATATGAAATATGGCTGAGGAGAAAATATTCTAGAACATCGTTTTTTATTTATGCCTTTTTGTGAGTTGGACTAGTCAAGATATATAGTTCTCTATCTATATCCTGGAGGGAGATTTCCGGTTGAAATCTGATTTTGTGAAAGAAATCGAATCCTTGCATCACTTCTTTTGTATCCACCGTCAGAATATCGTCGTGAAAAACTGGCTGCCGTTTCGTGAAGCATTCCCTGTTGGTGAATAGCAGGTCTTCGTAAAGAAGGATTAAGGCTTCCGAAACACCTTTGGTCAGAGACGTGGTTGGATTTTGATGATTTTTATGGACCGCCGACCAATTTCCGCAATGGGATTAAAATAGCCAAATTCTCCGACCGATATTCCGATTCCACGTGCCCAAGAAGTCCCCGAACAGGTCCAAGAGCAAGAAGACCGATCCAGACCGTAGCACAGAACAGTCCAGAATTCCATCCGTTCCTGTTGCCAGTGTGTAGAGTTACCCGTTGGACATCATAAACCCTCGTTGAGGGTTTTTTATGTTCACCTTAAGTCCTACACCTGGCCGGCATCCGTACGTCTGCTGAAATCCGTGGGCTCCAGTGACAGTACGCCGAGCTGCTGTGCACCGCCGTAGCCACCCTGTAGCTATACACCGTAGCTCAGCCGGAGGAACTTCCGAGTTGTTTCAAGATTGTACATCGATTAGAGTAAGACTGTTTAGATTTAGATTTGCTTTATGTAAATCACCCTGTTTGTATCTAGTATTAAGTTAGATAAGGGGGTTTGACGTCATAGGTTTAGTACTTATTGATTTAAATTTCATTTAACTTTACATTTCATTTAACTTCAATTTCATTTCTTTAAATATAAACTTTTTGATATTTTAATAAATTGCTTAAATATTTTTAGTAGTATTATTTACAGTCTAGTCTCATAGTTAAGTTAGAGTCACTTAAGTTCAAGTAATTATAGTATATTTGAAGTTCATGGTAGTTACACTCAACAGTTCGAGGTTAGTGTTGAAGTCTACTTAATAGTAACATCTTTTATGCCGAATTCATAGAGTATAATCTCGTGGCGCCCTTTTATTAATATCTTTGAACCCCGACCACCCGGCTGTTAAAAATTAAAAAGCTAGTGGCCTCTATGCAACTCATCCTAATTAAGTAAACTTTGTGTTTTATTGAACTTCAAATAAGAAAGGGCGTGGCACCTTGTGCAAATAAGTTATATCAGATCGCTCTGGGATCTTGGACTATTAAGAGATAAGTAAAAATGTTGTTCTCTAGAAGGTTTTTTTTATAAACTCGAAAAATGATTGCTCGACGAACATAAACTTTGGTACGACTGATGTCGGAGATGGAGAACTAGCCTCTGTAAAACCGTCTCAGATACTGGCTTTTGTCAAAGCCCTGAGACTGTATGATGAGTTATAAATTATAACTCAAGAAACTACAAGGTGCTAATATTTTTAAGATAATGTATTTTTTTATTTATCTACCTGTATTGTATGAAACACCGGTTTGAACGGGAATGGTCAAACTGGCTGTCAAAACTCCGCTGTTGTCCAGAATGTACGGGCTGGACTTTCGCCTCTCGATGTTACTGTTCTCGTCGCTCATCCTCAGAACTCGGGCCACGTCATCGGTGTGCGTGGAACTGGTACTTTCAATGGACGAGGAACGGTGTTTGGCATAGACGTCATCGTCCCTTGCGCCTCTGGCTCTGGACAGCAGACCGTCCTCGTATTTTTCGCGTTTGCGTCGTAAGCTGCGTTCTCGAATCTTGTCTTTGTGCCTGAAATGAAAGTTGAAATAATTAGGCACAAAATTAATTCTAAGTTTCTAAGGTTTCCAAAATACCGCAGCTCTTTTTATCAATCACTTTGATGAATGGGGTATACTATACAGGATGGTCCGAACTGTATTTGAGAAACTTCAGCAGCATACTCTGCAGATAAAAATAAGTAAAAAAGTTCGTATAAACCTTTGAATAAGAAGACTAAGGAAGGAGCATAATGCTATCCATGTATTCATGCATGGGCGGCGGAAAAAGGACTCTAAAATAGTTGGTTGTGTAGCGTCCGGTAGATCTCGGCAAAAATCGAGTGAAATAATGGAACAACTTTTCGCTAGTAAGTGACTATATAATATACATACGTGTTGTAAACCGATCATTTGTGAAGTTCACTTAAATTAACTAATTAAATATTTTTTCTTGCATTTTTGCTTTTATTTACCACTTGTCAAAGATTAGATGTCAAAGAATTTAGATACATCAATTTGACTTACCTGCTTCAGTAGCGTATCGGATGTTTGTGTTAATAAATAATTAGTAAAACTTATCTATTTTTATTATAATAATATGTTTTTATAACAATTTTAATGACTACCAACATTTATTCACAACGTAATATAAAAAAAAATATTGAGTTTACCCCACGTCTACCCTACATCATAGTTTTACATTTTTTAAATAAAATTAGAACGGCACTGATAAACCGAAATTTAAGTCGGCCATATTTGAGTCCCATCGCGGTGGACCTAAAATTTTTGATATGCTCCTTCCTTAGTCTTCTTAGTCAAAGGTATAAACTTATGTCCTATAAAATCCTTGGTTTCGGAGATACAGGGTGTAGAAGTTTCAATTAATTTCTGAAGTAACGTCAACATTTAGATGAAAATTGGTGTCTGGGAGTTTTTTGACATGAGAAATTTGATTTTGATGTCAATATTACTCCTACTAGTAGAGGTCGCCTACATATTTTTTAACTGGTTTGAAGAGTAATAACTTTTCGTCACAACCTGTATAAAACTACTGAGTTAAAAAAATATACATTTTCGGCGTTTTTTACGTAAAAAAGGTCTCTTGGTAAAAATCGCTACGAGTAATGGTTCTCGACATATTTGGAATCGAATTTATCAATACCTGTCATCATTGACATAAATTAAACAGCATGTTTACCAAATAGTTATTAGACTGAAATCATAAATTTGAAATATTTTTGTGCCAAAAGTTCAACAAAAACTATTTTATCATTATTTTAGCAGAAAAATTGATGAATAATTTAAAAAAAATAAAAATTTCCCAAGGTTATTAGGTATTTCAGTGAAATAACTATCTACTCAACGTGTTTATTTTTCGTCAATAATGACAAAATGACATGTATTGACTATTTCCATTCTAAATATCTTGAGAACGGTTGCTCGTGGCGATTTTTACAAAGAGATATTTTTTACGCAAAAACTCACGGAAATGTATATTTTTTCACTCAGTAGTTTTATACAGGTACGTACAAAAAGTTATTACGCTTCAAAACAGTTAAAACACATGTAGGTGGCGCCCCCTACAAACAGGAGTCATATTGGCATCAGAATCAAATTTTTCATGTTAAAAAACTCCCAGACACCAATTTTCATCCAAATATTGACGTTATGTCATTAGGTGGGGACATTTACAAAGAACGAATAACGACATTCCAGTGAAGAAAATATGGGAATCAAGGACTCAAGGCAAAAGAAATAGAGGCAGACCAAAAGAAACGTGGAATAAAATAGTTGAGCATATTTTACAAAGAAAAGGGAGTTCGTGGGAAAGAGCAAAACAATTGGCACAAGATAGGAAGAAATGGTCTGCATTTTTCTATGACAAGAAAACATGAACATGTAACCCAGTCACCCTCAGGGGTAAAATGGGTGCTTTCGATTATATATACAGGGTGTCCCAGAAATAAGTGCAAATATTTTAACTGGTAGTATAATTCAACCCCAGAAACACGCCTATGAGGTTTTTTTCGCGAAAAAAAAATTTTGAAAATTCGAAATTTTTTTGGATTGTTTTTTAATTTTTAGTTAAAAAACATAATTTCTTGAAAATATGGCAACATAAATATTAGATTAAATTTACAAGAAAGAAAATCCAGAAAAGATCAAGTGGTTCTCAAAATTTTACCAAAAAATCATTTTTTTTGGAAATTTTCAAAGTAAAATAACTCCGTTATTTTGGACTTATTTGAAAAACGATAAAGAGAAAATATGTTTCTTTTATCGAGATCTACCACCCCTTAAAATATTTGCACTTATTTCTGGAACACCCTGTATACAGGGTGTTTCAAAACAAATGCGTAAAACTTCAGGGGGTGATTCCTTGTTCAAAATAAAGGGTAGTTTGCTTCATAAACGTTGGGTCAAAAGTACCATTACCATTAGGGAGATATTGCGGTACAAAGATGGCGGAAAAATAATGTTTTTATTTTTTATCTTGAAAACGAAAAGAGATAGACTAATAAAATTTTATGGAAGCATTACTATTATGAAAACACACTTTCTGGTAATTTTTTCACTTTTTTAAAATGAGTGGAAGGGGTTGAAATAAACTACCCCTATCATTCTTGTTAACGAAATTTAAAGAAAAATCTTATCAAACACATGCAAAAAAATTAATTTGGATAGTTTAGTTTGTTTAGAAACTTTTTTATCTCTTGTATTTTTTTGATAAAACTCACCGATTTGAAATTAAAAAAAAATGTGAAGCATTACATGTCAGGACAAAAAACATTTTCTGATAAAGAATCTAGTGGGCTGCTGTAATTTTTTTAGGAAAAAATCTAATCGGCCGCTGTTACTTTTTAGGATGTTCCTAATATTATTTTATTTGACATTACTCTACTGCAATACGTTATTATCTAGATGATTATTCTTATCGTTATTATCACTAGATTCTTTATCAGAAAATGTTTTTTGTCCTGACATGTAATGCTTTACATTTTATTTTTTAATTTCCAATCGGTGAGTTTTATCGAAAAAACACAAGAGGTAAAAAAGTTTCTAAACCAACTAAACTATCCAAATTAAAGCATTTGCATGTGTTTGATAAGATTTTTCTTTAAATTTCGGTAACAAGAATGATAGGGGTAGTTTATTTCAACCCCTTCCACTCATTTTAAAAAAGTAAAAAAATTACCTGAAAGTGTGTTTTCATAACAGTAATGCTTCCATAAAATTTCATTAGTCTATTTCTTTTCGTTTTCAAGATAAAAAATAAAAACATTATTTTTCCGCCATCTTTGTACCGCGATATCTCCCTAATGGTTGACTTTTGACCCAACCTTTATAAAGCAAACTACCGTTTATTTTGAACAAGGAATCACCCCCTAAAGTTTTTCGCATTTGTTTTGAAACTCCCTGTATATTGACGTTACTCCAAAAATTATTTGAAAAAAAATCGAAATAAAAATGAAACTTCTACACGCTTTATCTCTGAATCTAAGCATTTTAGGACATACATTTATAGGAACTTTTTTACTTATTTTTATCAGCAAAATATAGTGCCGGAGTTTTCGGAATACAGTTGCGACCACCCTGTATAAATGGATAGAAATAAAAGTAACGTACCTAATCCTCATACCAACATTAGGACCACCTGTGGCTGCAGCCTCGTGAAGACACTCCTCTCTAGAATAGGTCTTTTTCGGCTCACTCTGTATATATTTCGGATCGAACGCATTTTCCATAGAAACTTCCGAGTTCGGCTGAGTTGGTGTCCATGGAGCAGAATTGCATTCTGAGTCAAGTTCATCCACTGATCTATACGAAAAAAAATAATGTTTTTACTAAATTACAGTTGAGGGTTGGAACCTTTGGTGTTAAACAGCAAAATAAAAACACTAAATCACCACAATACACCAAAACACTTTTACTTTTACACTGGACGCGCGTTTCGCTAACCATGTTAAACTAACCATAAACTTTTAGTTTATAATCATCTGCTGATGATGCTAACATGGTTAGCGAAACGCGCGTCCAGTGTAAAAGTAAAAGTGTGGTGTATTGTGGTGATTTAGTGTTTTTATTTTGCTTTTTACTAAATATTGAATTGATAGTATTGTTAAAAAGTGCAAATAATAGTTATTTTTTATACAAGACGATAATGCAATTTTATCGTCGTGTATAAAACAATACTTTTTTTTCCATAGCGAGTTAAATTTTAAAAAATATTCAGAAATTACTATTTCAAGGAATTTATTATGAGTAGAAAAAATATTGTGCTTGGTTGGCGTTGGTTTCTATGTAATTTGACAAATAAATAAAGCTGTCTCTTTAGTTGTCAGTTTTGAGTCAATATTTTTTAATTTTCTTTCGTGTCGATTGCTGATTGAATTGGAGCCAAAAATGGCTCAAAACGAAATATAAGTAAATTACCAACAGATACACATGCTGGCGACAAACGCCATATCCAAACTACCTCCATTTAAATCCCGAATAACTTATGAAAAGGAATACAAAAATTTTCAAAAATGGAAGCAATTAAAAAACGTGTCGGAAGAAATAAAGTTTTTAACCTATTCTCGCTGTTACAGTATCATTTAATCTACCCTTGCGGTTACAGTACTATTTTATCTACTATTTTTGATAGATATAAGGCAATTTTAAGTGCACTGCCACACAGAAAGCGTTTTTTGCGTTTTTAGCGTTTTCTATTAGACTCCGTCATGTCATAGGCGGACGTAATATTTAATAATGCAATAAAAATTAAATTAAATGTTTTTTTTTCATTTTAGGATATTATCTAAAAATATTTTTATAGAGATCATCTATTGTTTAGGAAGATTCTATTAAACTCAAAAATTTGAAGGAAATGTTTGAAAAAATGTAGTTTGAAATGTTGAAAAAGTAATAAATTAAAGAAATATTTTCTTACGCGTAAAAAAAGTTTTTTACCAGAAACAATAAGTTTTTGACGCGTAAAAAAATCATTTTTTACGTGTAACAAATAGTTTTATACACGTAAAAAATATTTTTTTTTGCCTAAAAAAGTTTTTTTACCAGAAACAATAAGCTTTTGACGCGAAAAAAAATAGTTTTTTACGTGTAACAAATAGTTTTTTACACGTAAAAATTTTTTTTTTTGCGTAACAAAAAGTTTTCTACCAGAAACAATAAGTTTTTGACATGTAAAAAAATAATTTTTTACGTGTAACAAAAAGTTTTCTACCAGAAACAATAAGTTTTTGACATGTAAAAAAATAATTTTTTACGGGTAACAAATAGTTTTTTATACGGAAATTTTTTTTGCCGTAAGAAAGGTTTTCCACCAAAAACAATAAGTTTTTGACGCGTAAAAAAAAGTTTTTACGTGTAACAAATAGATTTTTACACATAACAAATAGTTTTATACGCGCAAAAAATAATTTTTTACGTGTAACAAATGTTTTTTACACGTAATTTGATTCACTTTTACAAAATTTGTATTAAAATATCAGTATTTTTGAAAAACACGTGGACTGCTCATAAATACACGTCGCGTCACTACGTATTTCTAAGCCGTTAACACGTTTCGTTACAACGAGGTCGTGTGTCAGGGGCGTCTCACCAGCTCGTATGTCACGGCTTTGAATTTTTACTCCCAGCGCGCGTAAAGACCACGGCGTTTCACTCCAAAATGTTTCATAAATCATGTCCTAAAATTGCATTAGCAACTAGAGTTATTTACTATTCTATTATATAATTATAATTATTTATTATATAATATTATAATTATAACAAGTACTAACCACAACACTACAACATAAAAAAACTATACACACATAAACTAAAATTTGTAAAATAAATGGTAAATAATAATTATTATTTTTACACACACCACTGGCACTAGCAGTAGATTGTGTTTGTCTCCGAATATATGCCCCGGCCCGTCCACAATTCAATCCCAGCATCTTTTATCTTCGTCTCTTCAACGCTAACGGCGCCGATCTCGCCTATCTCTTTCTCACAGGATTGATTGTTGGACGGGCCGGGAATCCACGAGCTTGCGACGTTACTAATTGACATATTGATAGAAACTGCAGACCTGCCGCGTCTTTTGCGTGTTTTTAATGGACACAAATCGAAAAAAGCGCTTAAAACGGTAAAATCGCAAAAAGCGCTTGAGACGCAAAAAACGCAAAACGCTAAAAACGCTTTCTGTGTGGCCGTGGGCTAACAGTTATTGGTATGAAAAAAAAAATTCTAATACATTTTTTCTGGCGAGATTCTGCCCCTGTTATTAAATCCCTCTTCAAAAAGTTTACCATCCTGTATAAACAATTTTACCTTATGTTTCGAAAGAACAAAAACCTCCCTTTTTCAAAATAAGATTATCTCCCCTACAACCTTAGTCCGACAAAAAAAAACTATATATGTTTTTCGACATCATATTTTTTCATATATTTTTTGGCGATACGTATCTCTCCCCTCGCACTGAGCACAAAATGAAAAGAAACTTTTTTGATTGATAGAGAACTTTTAAAGAATATTAAAGACGTCGGTGTGGGTGATAACCGGAAAACCCGAACTTGTTATATTTAGGGTACAAGGAGTGAAACTTTTTAGATAAAACTCTAATGGATTGAGCGGTTTTTTGGAAGTTTTTATTCGAACGGCAAAGTTTAAAGACTGATTTATTTTAGGGTAAAAGGGAATTGATGAAATATGAAATTGATCGATGTTATAAATATGGGAGGGGGAGGAAAATTGAATTTATTGGATAATACGTTGTTACATACAGAGTGTTCCAGGCTGAGCACGCATTAAAAGTTTCTAGAGAACTACAATATCTAGATCGGAAATTTTTTGCACATCATTGTTTCACAATGAGATGTATTGATTAAAAATATTTTCAATATGGAGGCACTTCCGGAAATACCGGAAGTTGACAACAACTTTCTTATTTTAAATGAGTACCCCCATTTTTTATTATACAGGGTTGTTCACCACATACGACACGGAGTATTGTAGCAAAACGATTAGATTTTTACAAATTGTAAGTTTTGGATTGGTTGAAGGACTATTAGAGCTACAATTTAAAAATATTTTTACAACATTCAGAGTGTCCCAAATCAATAAAAAATATCAAAGTTGTATTTTTTTACATAGAACACCCTGTATATTATTACATTTTTAGTTTCTACGATTAAAATAAAAGTAAATTTGATTAAGGTTTATCACCCTTAAACCTTACCGTTTTTGAAATATTTTCAATTTTGTGAAATTGCAGTAAAAATTTCAAGGCTTCATTTCTCCAAGGGTATCAAAGTTTTTAATACTAAATATTTACTGAAGTTTAAGTATTAATTAGTTATTGTGTTGCAATAATAAAAGTAATACTACTTCATACAGAGTGTCTAAAAATTTATTTTAAATAATTTCTAGCTTTAAACGGCAATAACTTGTTTAATTTAAATGGAACGCCATGCATATTTTAGGAGAATCAGATGCCCAATTTAATTGTCCATCAAATTGTATTATACCATTTTTTACCTATCTCTTCAAGTTTTCGTAGAAAACGCGTTTTCTAATAATTTAGACATCATTTATCAAAATTCCCATGGAATATTGATATTTTAGATTGTTTTTAAAACAACAAATGTATAAAATGTACAGGTGCTAAAATTGATACTATTACCAGCCTATTTGTATACAAAAATAAAACTATTTAAATCTTTATAAAAGACTATACCATTAATTAAATATACCACCAGTATTTCCGCCCAAATATTAATTAATTACATATTTAATTGTGTTAGTTAATAAATTATTCTAAATAAATGGAGAAACCAATATAATAATAAGTTATGAAATTGAACATCTCTGTTGTTATAAATAAGCATTCGTCAAAAAATTAAATAAATTTTTTTACCACACTGTCTAATATACATACAAAATTCAGTTTATAGTATTTGGAGCAATTATTATTAATCAATGCAAGCAGTCCATTAATGTAGTTTGAATACTGGAATCATATTAATTGGTCCTTTCTACAAATATTTAAACATTTTTTTTATTTTTTAATGACATAAACGCACTATATCGACAATATTGTTATCTGTACCCTTTAAAAATTTGTTACATCTTTAAAAATAATCTAAAATGTCAATATTCCATGGATATATTGATAATTTGAGGTCTAAATTATAAGAAAATGCATTTTCTACGAAAACCTGAAGACATAGGTAAAAAATGATATAATATAATTTGATAGACAATTAAATTGTGCATCTGATTCTCATAAAATATACAGGGTGTTCGATTTAAATTAAAGAAGTTATTGCCGTTTAAAACTAGTTATTATTTAAAATAAATTTTTAGACACTCTGTATAAGATAGTATAATTTTTATTATTGCAACACAAAATTTAGTGAATAGAAATACTTCAATACAATATTTGGTTTTAAAAACTTAAATACGCGTAGAGAAATAAAGCATTATAATTATTACTGTATTTTGACAAAAACCTAAATATTTCAAAAACGGTAAGATTAAAATGCGGTAAACCTTAATCAAATTTACCTTTATTTTAATCCTAGAAACTAAAAATGCTATAATATACAGGGTGTTCCATTTAAAAAAATACAACTTTGATATTTTTTATTTATTTGGTACACTCTGTATCTTGTAAAAATATTTTTAAATTGTAGCTCTAATAGTTCTTCAACGAACCCAAAATTTACAATTTGCAAAAATTAAATAGTTTAGCTACAATACTCCGCGTCGTATGTGGTGAACAACCCTGTATACTTAAATTTTCTATCAAAATTTATGTGTGTGAATTTTTATGTCAAACATTCTACACCTAACCGTTTTTGGGAGAAAAATATTTAAAATTCGTGGTGCAAAAAACTGCCTGTAAAAAAAATTGTTTAGCCTAAATGTCAAATTTAAAGTCTGTAGTCTGTCTGTCCGTCTGTAACACGATAACTCAAAAACCGCTAAACCGATTTTAACCAAATTTGGCACAAAAATACTGTGGCACCCGAGAATCTGGCCATTAGTTTTTGATGGGGGTGGGGGGTTGGTAAGGGGGTATGAGAGAGGATTAAAAATTTTAAAAAATCGTAACTCCAAAATTACAGTAGCTAGCGAAACGCGGTTTTCAATTTAAGATTAGGAATAATATTTGCAACAAAATTTGTAATAACATCAAAGTCGGTCAAAGTCGCAGTTTTTGAGATAAAAAAAAATTAAGTATGGGCGGCTATACGTGCCTCCCGGCGCCAATTTTTGTGTTTACTACACTACAGCAATGGATATAAATGGGAGAGCGAATCCTTTGTTTTTTTGTTTGTGCATTTTCATCTAGTTTGTTGATGTTATCATATTTCTGATAAACAAAATAACATTAATTGCAAAAATTTGGTAATTGTGTAATGAAAAAGTTTACCGGTTTCAAAAATGTATTTTATTTTATTTTTCGATATTTATTATTTACTGACGATACATTAAAAAAGGATCTAAATTGATGATAAGTTACCTTTGTACCAATATTTGAACGAATCAGGATATTATGTCCCAAAATTTCAATAGGATAAATAATTAGAGATTTTCCTAAGTAGTTATGGCAGTTAAATTATAAAAAAATTGGCGCCGGGAGGCACGTATAGCCGCCCATACTCAAATATGTTAATAAAAACTTGGTAGGCAGTTCTTTTAGTTTCAAAGTAAAGGAATTTTTCCAATTTTTTTTTATCTCACAAACTGCGACTTTGATTTTGATGTTATTACGACTTTTGTTAGAAATATTATTCCTAATCTTAATTTGAAAACCGCGTTTCGTTAGCTACTGTAATTTTGGAGTTACGATTTTTTAAAATTTTTAACCCCATCCCATACCCCCTTACCAACCCCCCACTCCCACCAAAAACTAATGGCCAGATTCTCGGGTGCCACAGTATTTTTGTGCCGAATTTGGTTAAAATCAGTTTAGCGGTGTTTGAGTTGTCGTGTTACAGACGAAGAGACAGACAGACACCATGAAAATATTTTGTATTTAGGTCATTTATGATACAAATAACTCATTTTGAGTGAAATTAAAAAAACTTTTTGCCGATCTTAATAGCCTACCATACTTATTGGTATGGTCGGTTAATAAAAGTAATTTTATTCTCAATGTCTCTCAATTTGTACTAATCCGAAAAACTAAGACTGTCTGGATAAATTTGGAACTCTGGCTTCGATTAAGTTAACTAAACTTTCAAACTATAACTGAGGCGTGACCTATATGTGCGAATAGAGCCTTAATATAAACTTACTCGTCTGCCCCAGCTATGGCATCCTTTTTATTCAACAACTGATCCAAAGCTTCCGGATGCGAGTCCATCATGTGAACGTAGATTTCATCCAACAACTCCGCAGGTACCAAGAAAAGTTGCTTGTAGTGATCTATCAGCGTCCTTACAACGTTTATGATGTCGATGCGATCCTCTGATCTATCTGACATATCTTTACCTCCAGGTTTGATGCAGTGAAGAATGTTCGGAGCGAAGACAGTGGCCAAGTTGTTAGTGTCCATTTTGTTTCCAGGAAGCTCTTCCCCTGGAAAAAGAAAACAATTCAAAAACAGACAAAAACTGAGTAATAACTAACCTTAAAGGTTGATTCTCACTATACCTTCCGTATCAGCCACCTTCAGTTTCCCTTCCGTGTATATAAAATATTATATCATGTAAATGAATAGGACAATGCACACTATCCGTTCCGTTTCCCTTCCGTTCCATACCCTTTCCTTCCATACATTTTTTTTTTGGCGGAGGGACTGAAGCGTATCGGAAACAGCGTTGTCAAGTTGTTACATTTGTACCATCTCTATTAACATATTGCTGATATTTATATATTCTTATACTTCTTAATTAAATCTATTACCTTTTTCAAAAGATACAAATTTTTAAAATAAAACTTTCGTAATGATATAAATTGTACATTAAAAAGTATGGAACTGATACAGAACGGAAGCTTACGTATAGCGTCAATACAATCAAAAATACGGAACGGATATGGAATGGAAACGGAAGGTATAGTAAGAATCCTTTAAATTGGATTAAAAAATTTTGAGAAAAAAATATATGTTCGAATTAAAGGCGGATAGTCTGTGAAATTAAAAAATTATTATCTTAGAAGTTAAAATTAAATTATTACTCATATTGAACAATAACATAATATGCAATCCTGTGTTTATTGTTTTTATAATGTTGAGAAACATTTATTGGTTTGTTTTCTTGATCCGATTCTATTTTCGTTGCGGGCTCAACCAAACCTAATTATTATCTTATTTATAATTGCATTGTAAAGCCAATTTTAATTTGAGTTTTACCATTTGGTATGTGTATGTAACCGTGGACTTATTTTCAATATTATTCACTAACTGAATTTGTCCACGACCACTTAATAATAAATCAATATTCTACTTCCTAGCTGAAGGAATATGGTGCCCATATTTGTAATAGAGTGAAATATAACAGCTGATAACAGTGAATTATCATAAATCACACTTTGCATTTACTTTACATTTGTGGCTATGCCAACATGATACTCACAACATCCCGATGCGCGGCGTGGATGATTTGACGTTTTTCTTATCTTTTCTTTTTATTAATTTTGACGTTTAAAATTGTCAAATGTTAAGTAGGTAGTGATTATTAAGTGGCATATCAAGAACTCGTTTAAAATCAAAAAATGAATTATGAGAGTGATAATGAGCACTGTACAGGGTGGGTCAAATTCGACGCTTTTAAATGGAAACACCCTTTTCTAAAGGAGATAGACGAAAACTAATATCGCTGTCTGGAGCTCAATTTTCATCAAAAATATGATGGTGAAAACCGCATATCAATATCTGTTACCGTTTCGGAGTTACGGGGTGTTTTTCAAAAATGTGCATTTTTAACAAACCGCTGTAACTTTTTTGTTATGGAAAATTTTGTATTTCTATGAAAACATTTCCAAAGCACCTTTTTACGTAGAATTTAATGGTTTAAGTATAATTTGTTTAACATTAATGATTTAAGAGTTATCAACAGAAAAATTGATTTTTTTTTGAGACATCCTCTATATTTTTAATTAACTGAAAAGAATTTAAAATTACCTTTCCAAAAATATAGCACACTTGATATTTTGTTATAATCTCCTTCGAAATACAGAATTTTTAAAAGTTCGCCACTTTTAATTAGTAGGCTTTGGACACCTTATTGATGATATGCCCTTAATGGAACTCGAAAACATATTTTTCCAGCAAGACGACGCACCGCCTCTGAACGCTGAAGTTATTAGCAAATTTTTGCAGCCAATTTCAAGAATAATTGGATAGATAACCAAGATCCCAGCCGTTGGCCGTCGAGGCCGCCTGACTTAGAGCCCATGGATCTAATCCTATGGATATATTTGCGAATAAAGGTTCCTTATTCTTCCGTATAATCTAGACAAGAGTTAAAAATACTTAGCAGTTATGAAAGGGTATCTTTCACCCCCACTGAGTTAATGAATTCCGCGAGAAATGTTCAAAAACTGCCCCGTCTGTCCATAACGTAGCAAAATCTCATGTCTTGGTTTGCTATTTATTTTTATTGTTATTAGATATAGTTTAAATGTGTTGATGTTGGTTAACTACATTTTAAATTTTTATAAAATTCTGCATCTCCCATAGCAAATATTATTTTCGTTTTAATTGATGCTCACAGCTAGAGTTTTTTTGCATTACAGCCGGTGCCGTTCAAAGCCTACTTTTTTAAAGCTGGCGAATTTTTATATACTCTATATTTCGAAGAGGAATCGAGCAAAATATGAAGTGTGTTATATTTTTGGAAAGGTAATTTTAAATCCTTTTCAATAAATTAAAAATATACAGGGTGTCCCATATAAAAAATAAAATTTTCTGTTGATAATTCTTAAATTATTAGTTTTAAAAAAATTATACTTAAACCATTAAATTCTACGTAAAAGGGTGCTTTGGAAATGTTTTCATAAAAATACAAAATTTTCCATAGCAAAAAAGTTACAGTGATTTGTTAAAAATTCATTTTTTTGAAAAACACCCCGTAACTCCGAAACGGTAACAGATATCGATATGCGGTTTTCACCATCATGTTTTTGACAAAAATTGAGCTCCAGACACCGATATTAATTTTCGTCTATCTCCTATAGAAAAAGGTGTTTCCATTTAAAAGCGTTGAATTTGACCCACCCTGTACATCAGCAGAGATAGCAGAGGCGGCCAAATTAACAAGTCTTGGATTGCTACCGCAAAAATTTAAGGATCATTACATGTCTGCCTATAAAAACTTTCTAGACTGGAGGATTGCTAAAGGCGTAAATTCGTTTTCCAAATCCGTGTTATTAGTATATTTAGTTGCCATTGAAACGGAACAAAAATCAATCTCCTGATAAAGATCGACTAAAGAATGTTGGTACCATATTTTCATGCAAAGAACTTGAAATAATATCAATGAAATTCAAATACATATATAACTTTAAATAAAACACAAATTAGTTACACAAAACAACAAAAAGTCAGATGCTGGTACTCCAATTTATCATTCTCCAACAAATGTACTCAACTAAAGTTGGTAGAAGTATGTTTTATTGCAAAAAACTTGAAGCAGCATCAATAAAATTCAAATTCATATACTAAGGGCTGGCAAAGGTTAGTCTTGGGTCGAGATTTCCGTATGTAAGAAGAGTACAATGCGTTTATAATGTACTGAACAAAGAGAGAACAGTAAACACGTCGCCAAACGTATGAAATAAACCGAGAAACTGTGCACATCGCCAAGAGACGTGGAAGGGGATATAGCAGATTTGTCGCAGTTGACCGGTCGACCCAATCAATATCTCTGTCAGTACTTAAAGTTCTAGGGAAAGATGTACGTCATGCGTTCAGCTTCACGATTTAATTACGTCTCGTGTTACTTAATTTGTTTATTTATTAACGAGTCGTTGTAATTTTACCTATAGCTTGAATTTTTTTAAAGGCAAGCTAGAAACACTTGCATTTTTGTTAAAAATAAGTGGAATTGTGTGGGTGTTCGATAGTGGTCGCGCTATTAGAACTCTGAATTCAAAAATCGATATCTCGAAATCTATTAGAAATAATAGATTGTAGGTTTTTCAAGAACTTTGTTAATATTTCTGCTGTATTTTCTTTGTAGACAGTATGTGAAAATCTTTATCAATAAAAAAATTACACGATTTCGCAAAATTGCTATGCTCTAAAAGTAAATGGATGGATTGTTTACAATTTTTGAATGGAATAAACAACCTTATCGAATTTTTCTTATGTAAACATATTGTAAAATATCCGATATGGAAAATAAAAAAAAAAGTTTCAATATCTAAAGTGGTTCTTGAGTTATGTGTTAAAAAGTTTTTAAATTATCGCGATTACTGACGTTTTCTCGTTATAAAAAAATGACACCCTAACGATGTCCTTATAATTCCATTTCAGATGCTCAGAAACATATCTAATGATTTTATCTAGTTATCTCTTGAAAAATAAGTCTTTTAAAAATGAACGGTTTGCGATCGTGATTTTACTTTACTTGATAGGGAAAGGCGTATCGGCAACGCCGCAACAGCACACCGTCGCGCGTCGCGTCGGTCGGTCGCGCGTCGCGTCGGTCGGTCGCATTTCTCTCACTCCGACTTAATAAGATCCCCATGCGATTTACTTCCACACATGTTAATACCGACCCAAAAGTAACAGTTGCCAGCATGGTATAACGATAAATAAAACACAAATTACCAACTTTAGTTACACAAAACAACAAAAAGTCAGCTGCTGGTGCGGTACCACCATCATCTATCATTTTTCAACAAATGTATTTTACTAAAGGTGGTAGAAAAAAGTACTAATATACAGGTATGTCGTAAAACACATCTAATAATAAACTTCCCAAATATTTGAAAATAGAATAGTTCGAGATGACTGCGACTCTCGATGCGTAGCAACTGATGATGATATTGACGTTTTTATTATCTTTTAGTTAATTTTGACGTTTGAAATTGCCAAATTTTAAGTAGATTATAGGTAAAATGTACATTCCTAAAACATGAATACAATAATTAATAGTAAGATTAACATTAAAAATACAAATTCAAACACTCCTCATAATTATTATAATGATCGTGGACAAAGTATAGTATTCAACTCGCAATTTATAGCCATTATTCACTCGGGTGACTTGAGCCATCATCATCAGTGTGGCATATCATTATACTCAGAAGACTGAGGTCTTTCAAAACCTGACATAAAAAATGCAGGTCCGTATTTAAAAAAATTAAGTTGGCCTCTGTATCTCACAAATTATAAGCTAATTTGAAAATCTAAAAATACTATCAGATAGCCCTAATAAAGTGGCTATGAGAACGTGCAATTAGTTTTTTGATTTTCTAAAAAATAACGACAGGAAAATATAAAATTGATTTTCAAAAAAATCCGTTTTTCCAAAAAATTCAGCAATCCTTGAAATTTCCAAAACTTTTTTGATGGCATCTTGGTGAACATCCCAAAACACAACTTTGCCCCAATTTAACCATGTTCGTATCTATTGCGGTTACCGAGATACCAATGCTCGTACTTCGAATTTGTAGCACCCTGTATATATATATTATCTGTCATAAACAGATGAATATTTAATTAAAAATATGTTTCTTGGGTCTTCTTTTCAATTGATGCCAGTTCAAATGAAACAAATGTGTAACCTATGCTTACCTAGAGCATTCTTGGTGTCATTACAATATTTGGAGACATTGGCCAGAAAGCTTAGCAGAGCGTAGAGGGTGTCTCTGTTAGTTGGTGGTAACAATTGAATTAGATGTTGTAGAGCTTCAAACTGCAGTCTCCTGTTACGTATCCCTATAATGATTAGAAGAACAAATATTTACATTTTAATTTATGAATTTCCTTAAGAAATCTAATCATAATATGCTTTAAAAATATTAATTTAATAATGCATTTAATGCATTTTTACCTTATTTATGGAAATAAGTTTAGAAATTTCTTAACCAAGGCAAATAAAATAAAAAACATAATATACAGGGTATCCCTTTTAAAACACCATAAGTTTGAGTCATATTTCTAAAACGACAGCTCCCAGCAAAAAAACTAGTTACGCCACTAGATTTTACGTAAAAATCTCATAGGGTGACCGTTTTCACTTTTTAATAAGTTATAAAATAATCAAGATACAAAGGGGTATTCTCCCTGTATTTGTACATAAACCAACTGTGCTAGCACAGATCTGTGCGTAGCATCTTTAGTTTTATAAAAAAGGGGCATAGTGATGTGAAAACCGCATATTTGTATCTTTAATCATAAACGAGAAACCTCATAAAACACACGAAAATCGGACACCCTGTACAGGGTGAGTCAACGATAGAGTAAAGTCCATTATCTCATTTGTTTCAAGGTTAAAAAAAAATGTTTAATATAAAAGTTATAGGGATGGTTAAGATACACATTTTAAAATTATTATAGAGTTTACAAGGTGCTTCAAAAAAGTGTGGCGGCTAGAACATATGTTTTTCTAAATGCAACACCCTATTTTTTATTTTATTTTTAGATTCTGCGTAAAATTCCATAACTTTCTTATATTATAATGTTATATACCTAAAATTAATAGTTTTTGTAATATTTCAATTTATTTAAACAAATGTTAAATTGCATTGTGGTAAAAAATTGTCAGTGGTGCCATTGTTTCTGAAGTTGGAGTACCAAAATTTGGTAGGAGAGTTTTATAGAGATGTAAAAAATATACATGTAAAGATATTTTAGTTAAATGATACAGAGTGTTCAAAATATATAAATTTCAACTAACTAAAATTAAAAAATCTCAGATTTTTTAAATGGGACACTCTATATATTATAATTTTTTCTGATAGATTTTACAAAACTCTTCAACTTTTATTAAGTATGTCAAACACCTGTTTTAATAGTTTGCGATTTATTCCCATTTTTTCTACTTTTACCCATATTTTTAATACAATTACCCTATAAAATCATAGTTACCATGACAAAACAAAACTATTTATTACTTACCTTTACAAATAGCTTTATAATTAGTTACAATTGCTGGTATTAGTTAAGATTAATTAACTTTACTCAAATAAACTAAATCGCAGTAGTGAATTTCTTGATGTATTTCTATATTATGAAAGATGACACTTGGGATTTTTCGTCAGGGCGAATAGCCACAGATTAGGGTAATACTAGATTACCTAATTGCTGAAGACCGCTCATATAGGAATTTTCTTCGACATACAGTAAAGTTTTTTCTCGTAGTAATTCTGGTTTATAATTCATTTGGTAAAGCCAATATTACTACTGCCGCGAAACCGTCCCATTATACACTAAAGATGTTTTCTAGATATATATAACCAAATGTTAGTTGTCAAACTTCAGAATCAATGCCATCAATGGCAATTTTTTATCACACTGCAATCTAACATTTGTTTAAACAAATTTAAATATAACAAAAACTATTAATTTTAGGTATAACATTATATATAAAAAAGTTATGAAATTTTAAGCAGAATCTAAAAATGAAATAAAAAATAGGATGTTGCATTTAAAAAAACATATGTTATATTCGCCACACTTTTTTGAAGCACCCTCTATACTGTATAATAATTTTAAAATGTGTATCTTAACCACCTCTACAACTTTTATATTTAATATTTTTTTGTAAACCTCGAAACAAATGAGATAATGGACTTTACTCTATCGTTGACTCACCCTGTACAGTAAAAAACATAAATTATAATCTTAACTTACTTTGCGTTTGAATAAAAGCATGGTACAGGTCTCGACACAACAATGGATCAGGTAAATCCCTCAGATATTCTTTTAGTAAGCTTGCAACATCGTGGGGACATTGACTTTCTTCTATGGATACTTCTTTCCCACAATCAAAATCTTCCCTTAACTAGAATATATTCACCATTATTACTAACATATTTTCAAGTAATAATGTTCAATATTCTATTTTACCTGTCTTAATCGTTTCTTCGATGCGCTAACCCTGAAAATGCCATTCGTATGCAACCCGTTCTGCTCCAAGTGCCTAATGCATTCGGATATGATGTTAGGAACGGCTCCGGATTCTTCGTCGTTGATGGCGCAAGGCAAGTCAGCCGTCGAGGAACAGGATAGGGCGTCGAGGAGTCCCGGAACGCTTCCTACTATCCCTCTGCCCATCAGACTATCACAGGAATCAGTCTAGAACAAAAAAAATGTTATACAATCAATGTCAAGTCCAATCTCCGGCATTTTTAAACTTATGGCAACCAAAAAAATCTAGATATTAGCGGTAAAATCTTCCTCTTTGAGGACGATACTAGTTTCACTTGGAGCGGCCCAGATGTTACGGCACTATACAGGGTTGTTCACCACATACGACACGGAGTATTGTAGCTAAACGATGAGATTTTTACAAATTGTAAGTTTTGGGTTCGATGAAGGACTATTAGAGGTACAATTTAAAAATAATTTTACAAGATACAGAGTGTCCCAAATAAGTAAAAAATATCAAAATTGTATTTTTTTTTAAATGGAACACCCTGTATATTATTTTTAGTTTCTACGATTAAAATAAAGGTAAATTTGATTAAGATTTATTATACTTAAACCTTACCGTTTTTGAAATATTTTCAATTTTGTGAAATTGCAGTAAAAATTTTAAGGCTTCATTTCTCCAAGGGTATCAAAGTTTTTAATACTAAACATTTACTGAAGTTTATTTACTGATCAGTTATTGTGGCTGCAATAATAAAAATAATACTACCTTATACAGAGTGTCTAAAAATTTATTTTAAATAATTATTAGCTTCAAACGGCAATAACTTGTTTAATTTAAATGGAACACCCTGTATATTTTACGAGAATCAGATGCACAATTTAATTGTCTATCAAATTATATTATACCATTTTTTACCTATCTCTTTAAGTTTCCGTAGAAAATGCATTTCCTTGTAATTTAGAACTTATTTATCAATATACCCATGGACTATTGACATTTTAGATTATTTTTAAAGATGTACCAAATTTTTAAAGAGTACAGATACTAATATTGTCGATATAATTCGTTTATTTCATTAAAAAATAAAAAAAAAACTGTTTAAATATTTGTTAAAGAGGACCAATTAATATGATTCCAGTATTCAAACTACATTAACTGACTGTTTGCGTTGATTAATAATAAATTGCTCCAAATACTAAAAAACTGAATTTTGTATGGGCATTAGACCGTGTGATAAAAAGTAACACCTTAAAAATGATATTACATATTTTAATAAATGCTTATTTATAACAACAAAGACTTTAATTTGATAACTTATTATTATATTGATTTCTGACTCAAAAATCGACATTTATTTATAATAATTTATTAACGAACACAATTAAGTATGTCATTAATTAGTAAATGGGCGGAAATAATGGTGTTATATTTAATTAATGGTATACTCTTTTATAAAGATTTAAATAGTTTTCTTTTTGCATACAAATGGGCTAGTAATATTATCGTTTTGCTAAAAACGATAATATTACTAGTCTGTACATTTCGTACATTTGTTGCTTTAAAAACAATCTAAAATGTCAATATTCCATGGATATATTGATAAATGAGGTCTAAATTATAAGAAAATGCATTTTCTACGAAAACTTGAAGGGATAGGTAAAAATGGTATAATACAATTTGATAGACAATTTAATTGTGCATCTGATTCTCCTAAAATATACAGGGCATTCCATTTAAATTAAAGAAGTTATTGCCGTTTGAAGCTAATAATTATTTAAAATAAATTTTTAGACACTCTGTATAAGGTAGTATTATTTTTATTATTGCAACACAATAACTGATCAATAAATAAACTTCATTAAATATTTAGTATTAAAAACATTGATACCCTTGGAGAAATGAAGCTTTAAAATTTTTACTGCAATTTCACAAAATTGAAAATATTTCAAAAACGGTAAGGTTTAAGTATAATAAGCTTTAATCAAATTTACCTTTATTTTAATCGTAGAAACTAAAAATGTAACAATATACAGGGTGTTCCATTTAAAAAAATACAACTTTGATATTTTTTATTTATTTGGGACACTCTGTATCTTGTAAAAATATTTTTAAATTGTAGCTCTAATAGTCCTTCAACGAACCCCAAACTTACAATTTGTAAAAATCTCATCGTTTAGCTACAATACTCCGTGTCGTATGTGGCGAACAACCCTGTATAATACTGCACCATTAAATCTTGGTGCGGTTCTATTGTTAATCTAAGGTTCTAATCTCCTATGCCTCAACCTATCAAAAACTAAAGTTTCGTCATATGAAAGTACTATACAACCTTTTGTACTTAATATAACACCACTATATTGACTTCGTGGACTCTGTGAAATTCTTAGGACTTGTTGTAGACAACTCGTTAAATGGGACTTGCACATCGAAACTTCATCAAAGAAACTAAGCACTGCGTGTTTGTGATAAGATCAGTTTCTAAGGAACTTAACTTATCAACCTCTAGATTAGTCTATTATGCACTTTTTGAGTCACATCTTCGTTATGCCCTTCCATTGTGGGGTACTTGCTGCGCAACAAAATTTGATCGTATTTTCAAACTTCAAAAGAGAGTAGTTCGATATTTATTGGGACTGAACAGTAGAACTCACTGCCAGAATTTCTTTAAAAATTTCAAAATACTGACTCTTCTTTCTTTATTCATTTCTGAATCCGTTTGTTTACTCCGCAAGCACATATCTGCTATTCCCGAAAGGCCATCTCACAGCTATCCACTTAGGAATGCAGAGCACGATCTTGATCTGCCAACACCGAGCTCAGAACTAATAGTTACGGCTAAGGCTCAACACTGTATATGTTACGCTCCATAGTCGAATTCGGGCAATGCCCGAAAAAAATACGCAAATCTAGTTGTGAGCAAGGAATATTTCCCAAACCCGAAAAACCAACTAACCAATGAATTAACACCCTCCAAATAACCACGCTAACGAACTCGCCATATAACTAAACCAATCCAACCAGAAAGAGTGAAACCAATGCAATCAGATCACACTATAAGCAAAAAAAATCGAATAAAATTAATTTTTCGGGTTTGGGAAATATTCCTTGCTCAAAACTAGATTTACGTATTTTTCTCGGACATTGCCCGAATTCGACTATTGGGCGTAATATAGTATACAGACCGGACCACCGTAGTAGTAACATAGGCAGAACCGGACGAATTAGCGTATACCCGTCCGCCGGATAAAAAGCAGGCAAAAAAATGCGATAAAATAAAAATAGGTCGATATGTGATAAGAATGTTTCAGAATTTGTATTTATTCGTGTTTTAATAGCCAAAACGAATATTTAGATTCTCGCGACAGTTCTCGTGTAAAATTTATTTTTTAAGTAAAATAATAGATGTTTATGAAGTTCATGAGAAAATTCAAATTGTAAAATGGTATTTCCAAAATAGGTCTTATCGGGATATACAAACAATTTTTCCACAAATTTTTGTAAATAGGCAAATTCCATCTTTATCTACTATATCAAGAGTTATTAATAATTTTGAAACAAATGGGTGCGTGTCCTCACAAAAACACAAAAAGCCTGATGTGTTGATTAATGTAGAACAGGAGTTAAAGCAAGTGTTCGTTTGTGCTACCGCGGATCAAAATCCCACGTTTTCAAGTAATCAAATTGCTGAGGTGGTAGCCCTGCCCACAATGCCCGTATTGTTCAAGAATATTTGAACAATACTTTTTCCAACCGTTTAATTAGTGGATATGGAACTATTTTGTGGCCCGCTAGATCACCGGATCTTTCCCCCAATGATTTCTTTTTGTGGGGTTATGTAAAATCCAAAGTGTATGGTCATAATAGGGCTAATAATCTGGATGAGTTTCAAGTAAAAATACGAGAGGCTTTCCAAACTATTAGCCCTAATATGTTAGCAAATTCCTAGGCTTCTGTCTAGCACAAGATAGTGGTCTTTTTGAACACTTGTTATAACTTTTTTTTATTTAAAGTAATATTATAGTTTTTTTTGGGTTTAGAAAATTTATTTATTCTTAGTTTTGGCTTGTAAACACACTCAAATAATAAATATTTAAGTATTTTTATTTTAAATGTTACCATAAAACTCTTTCAAGTACGGTGGATCACAATTTAAACCACCAATTTTTAACGCGTTGAGGTACGGTGAGGTAAATAATAAACCACCTAGATTTAAATTTCTGGCGCTAAGCTACATCGATTTATTTATTGTACCGCCGAGGAAACGCATGTATTAGGATGCCGGCCTTGCAATTTCCCCCTCCACGCAACGATATTAGCGTGTGTCGTGCACTGCAAAATGATGGTCGAATATTTACTGCACGTTTATGTTAATTTGTGGCGCTTGGTAAATGTGCTTTTTGACTAACTTTTTGTGCTTACAATTGTGGAAAGTGGTTTACGTAAAGCATAAAAGGTAATTAATACTTTATTTAATTGAATATTAGTTTGATTATGCGCATTTTCTCTTTGTTAGTGCAGTGTTCAAAAATTGAACCACCATACTTCTAAGGCAATGAACAGCGATCGCAAATACCGATGTGATTATCTTACTTCACTGGATCCAAATGCTCTATATGACATCCTAGATGTCATTGACGAACAAAATGTAGCAATACCGTCAGATTCAGGTTCAGAAAATGACAGTACCGATGAAAATGATCAAGATGCGGATGCTTCCACTAGTTTAGTTCGTGATAATGAAGAACCTGAACCTGAATACGTGCTTTCCGCCTCGGACGATTCAGATTATGAGTGGGATGCAGAAGATTTGGTACTTTTAGCTCGGTTAGCAGCAGAAATGAAACGCAAAAACAGATTTCATGGGACAAGAATTTGGCTAATATTCATGCACCAATTCCATTTAGTGAAAATACCGGACTGCATCAGTTTATCAGAGATATTCCGAACCCTAGCCCACTAGATATTTTTAGACTATTTATTACCGATGACATTATCAATCATATAGTTTTCGAAACTAATTTATATGCCGAACAAAAATTTTCCAACATGGGCAAACCATACAAAAAAACTAACCCAGACGAAATAAAGGCATTTTTGGGAATCAACCTCCTAATGGGAATAAAACGATATCCAAGCTACAGAGATTACTGGAGCACAGCGCCTGATTTACATGATCCTTACATAAGTCGGATTATGACTT